GTCGGAGCGCTTTTGAAAATATGTGGTGTCTTGATAAACTGAGCAGATATTTGAAGTTTACACAGCTACATTCTCGCCTGAAAATATGTTAAAAGTTTATGTTGTGACCCAAAAAGAATAATAACAGTAATATTAAAACTAACTAGCTGCTGCCATTGTTGGAAACTGAGCTGGGCCGCGCTATGAATTCTGGGATAGGTTGGGCCACGAAGTATATGCCCGACCCATCCTTCAAATCTAGGGAAATAAAGGACGCATTTGTCGGCGGCATTTGTCAGAGTCTTCAAATTTGGACAGTCTTCATCGTGTCGCTGTAACGTAATTGGCCTACTAATGCGGGCACAGGAGGATGCGGTTCCTGAATTTGGACACAGGTACGATACTGGACACTGCTTCTTCGGAGTTTAACGACAGCTGGCATCCTTGTACACGCAGTGCTGCCATCTTCTGTTTCAGTCCATTATTACACTCATAAATCCTACTACTTATTCCTGCGTCTTTAGGGATCTTATAAAGCTTCAAACGACGCGATTTTGATAGTCGACGTAATCGTGACTAGTCGACTAATCATGGCAGCCCTACTATGCATCAGCGCTGAGTTATTACAAGAATGTGTCTACAGCTGATATGGATTCTAACAAGACACCAGCATGATAAATTAGTGTCCAGTCACATGTATCACAGTGACAGGACATAGATAAAAAATAAATGAAAACTGAAAAGTATAGATTAAATATTCCCCACATACCTTTTTCATATTCTTTATCTTGTTGTACTCATCCAAAGCATCCTGTTGAAAGGGCAGACAAACATTTCAAGTTTAGTCAGATTACTAAAGTCTCACATTTAACTTTCATTGATTGGGTGACAGGTGGTAGAGCGGGCGTCTACCAACTGGAAGGCTCGGCCTCTTGTCTCTCCTTCCATGTGTTGAAGCATCCTTGATACTGATACAAAATACTTGCACCCGATGCATTTATCGGAGTGCGAGTGTGTGAATTTTAGATAAAAGTACTGCATGACTGTGTGTGTGTGTGTGTGTGTGTGTGTAACACCATGGACATCATGGGTAAATGAAACTTGCAGTAGAAAATGCTTTGAGTGCTAAAAACCGAGAAAAATGGTGCTACATAAGTAGCAGTCAATTTATTACTGATTTATTACTTTCTTTCTTTTTTGTTTAGAAAAGCTTTAATTTAGTGAAAAAGCACTTTTTCCATCATCACGCATCCAATATCCAACATTTATCCATCAGCAACTTGGGTTTTCAGATTATCAATGTCAGAAGCAAGGCTGGACTGGGACAAAAAAATCGGCCCGGGCATTTTGACTAGAGACCGGCCCACCAGGATAAAGATTGAAAATGTGACGTCATTCAGGGGTAAAACCGCAAAGGATTCTGGGAACTTGTGGCAAGAGGTACTAGCGCACGCAGGCTTTCAATTGAACTCAGTTACACAGCGATAAAAAGAAACACAAAAAATGGCAAGAAGCTGTTGTATTATTAACTGCAATAGCCGGTCGCATGACAGCCACGGGAAGCCGATCGTTTGGGGTTTTTTTTAATCGGATTACGTCGTTGAAGAGAAATGTTTTAAACCATGTTTCCGAAGTAAGAGCCGACGGATGGTCTGGATATACCAAATATAACGTCCCAGAACACTCCAGCTCACAGGTTAGTCTGCTCCAAGCATTCCCACAAAGGTCAGAGTTTTGTAGTAGTTAATACATCATTTTTCTTAACATAATTGGTGATATAGGTTACAAGCAAGTCTGGTGCTGAACAGAAATTGTCGCGCTATGCTCCTTTGTTTATTGTGCATAAATAGTAAATTGTCCTGACACAATATTGCGTTTCGCTTCTGTTATTATGGTACATTGACAAAAACATACTTTTATTCACAGGATAAAACAGTTGTTTTGTATCACTAATTGCCCAGTACGATTACAGCATACAGTATTATTGTCACTGCTACATTTCTGTAATGAACCAGAAATTATTTCCACTGCTAATTAATTACCGTTGAGCTCAAAGGTCCTATTAATAAACTGTTAACGAATGTGTATTTATGAAGACGATTTGTGAGACTGGTAAACTTACCTTTGTTCGTACGATGGTCTTTCGTTCTACACGGTGCATTTCAAGGTCCTGCAACCATCCGTCGGTAAACTGTACCTGGGCTTGTTGCACTGACCTGAAGTTACTAAACTTCATGAGTGTATGCACTCACTCCAAGAACCGTATAATTATAAATATGAGCGTGGTGAAAGTTGGGCAGCACGCTGACGTCTTTTGTCCCTCTGTGTGCTCGTAAGGGTAACCCTTTCACACCTTTGATTTTTTCCTTGTATCTTTTCTTTGTCTTTTCGTCGAGTCTGTCTTTGTACGGACCGGCATTGTTCTACTTTTGTTTTGTACATTCCTTTTTTGTGCGGCAAAGAAAAAACAAGAAGGCATTGGAACCGGAGAATGAACGTTTTGTGGTGCTGCAAATGCTTGCATTTGATGCGGTACTTGGATTGTTTCGCCACGAGTTCCCGGCATGCAATGCGCGAAAAATCACGTGATTGCTAAACAAGGGGGCGGGTGCATTCGGCCTCCTTGGCTGTAATTGGTCCAGCCCAGAGTCGATCATGACCAATTGGCCAATCCAACACCTTTCATTATATATACAAAAAAAAATAAGAATAAAAAAAAATCCATCGGCCCAAAAAAATAAAAAATCGCCAGCGGCCCACCGGGCAAATGCCCGGTATGCCCGATGGCCAGTCCAGCTATGGTCAGAAGTACTAGAAATATTTTAAAATCTCACCAGGTACTGTGGGCTTCCCTCCTCCAGTTCATCCAGCTCTCTGTCCACTGCTGAAAGGCTCTGGTTAATTGCATCAAGCTCTGCCTGCAGATCTTTGTACTCCTGATGGTCGTGGTCAAATTCACGCTTGTAGTCATTGCGCTCTTGCTCATTTGCAATTGGAGGAAATTCACTGGAGGAAGGAAATGGGAAGAAAGAGAAGAGAAAAGAATGAAAATAATTATAATAACATTAGAAGTTCATATGTGAAAACATTCTTAAAAAATTAAAAGAAAAAAAGACCGATATATGATAGACTTGACTTGAGGGGTAATAATGTTTCAAAGATGATCAGTTCCAGCGGTCTGGTTATGAGGATTAAAACTTATGTCTTACCTGTCAAAGTCGTTGTCATCCAGCTCGTCTCCAGACGAGTTGTAATCTGTGTCGTAGTCCTGTCCGTCTACGTGGCGAGGCCGACCTGGTCGTCTCGTTCTGGAATATCCGGCTGAACTTGCCACTTCTGAGATACTGCTGTAGGGAGGCCTGCTTTGCAGTGGCAGTTCCTGGACAACAGGCCTGTGTGACAATAATAACAATAATTACTTTAGAAAATCGATGTCAAAGGTTAGTACATTAATAGAAGATTTTGACTATGGAAGATTTTAATGTAAGACGAGTGTCAGGAAACTTCTACTAATGTAGGAGGAAGTAAAACACCGCCATAAATAACCTGCAAATTCATACTGTATGAGACAACCTTTAATAACCTCCTAATTCCTTATAGCTTGGTGTGTTACCTCATCAATACCAGGCCAGCACTGACATGTTTTCTTCATATTCTGTATAATAATATAATAATCAGCTCATTCTGCTTAGGTCTGGGTCATAAGAAAAAATTTCAATCAGTTTCGAGGAGCAAAACAAGGTTGCATAAACAAGGCTCAAGCTGAGTCTGCAATACACTGCAGCAGACCAATGTCATACAGATTGTACTGATAGCACTGTGACCTAGGAGCAGGGCCAGTTTCCCCACAGACGTCTACACAACTGGAAATCTTTTGGAACCAGAGGAATCATAATCGCAGGCCGTTATGAAGAAAGCAGGTTTCCTGCTTTCTTCCTCACTGGCTTCACTTTTCAAACCCAGACATTATGTCCATTTTTTATATACTCTACGGTTATATGCAGTAACCGCAGTGACTGCTAGCATGGCTGCAAACACATGGATAATTAGACTCCCAGAATCAAGACTTCAGTACTGATTCTGGGAGGAAAACTGTGATGCGTATCTGTGACATCTCAGTGGTCTTAGGGTGCTGTCCTCAGTCTTACAAAATGAGATTCAGTGTTGAATTAGGATTGAGAAATAAACACCTGCACTTGTATCAGGGCGCATACTCACTGAGGGCTGTAGCTGTATGGTGGTTTGTCGTAGTTTGTGCTTTCATCATCCAGATGACTCCTCGAGCTCCTTAGTTTTTCTGGGTAGTCTGAAATGGGAACTTCTCCAGGCACAGCAGACACATGGTTCACCTTCACAAAAATGTAAACAAATTAGCAACATATTTTTAAATAATATATAAAACCCATATCCAAAACTTTTACTGCACATCAGTAAGTAGCTACTTTCATGCTTGATTTGGCACATTTACGCCAGATGCTTTTCCTCATGTGACCCCAAAGGGGACTAGTGTCTCTGGCAGGAAAGCAACAACCTTTCATTTGTCAAGTGAATGTGTAAAGGTTACAGTGCCAACATTTAGCCAAAACTCACTGGTCATTTGCAAGTTTGAGCAAAATCATTAACTATTAAACCTCATCACTTTTTCCATTCACCAGCTAGCTTTAGTTTAGCCAACTATTCATTTTCTTCTTTCAGATACTTTCTCTCACCATTTGATATGCATTTTAGTTAGCTAAATCAAACTATATATCACAAATGAGATACACTTTAACTGTCTACATGTACTGTGTGTGCTGCATTCACACTGCCTCAGCGATTTCAGGCAGGTTCCCATAAGCTCCAGTAAAGTAAATACTTTCTAAGAATCAACTTGTTTATGTGGAGTTACGCATGGGCTAACTGATGACTTTTTCCTTTCTTTCGTTCTTTTTTTTAATAAATACAATTCAAAGTACCAGTAGAACCTGCTTTTCCTGTTCACTACTGTAAAGTGAAGTGTACAGCAAGGACTTGGCTGTGATGAATATCATCACGACTTTCAAAATGACTCACTGTCTCGTTGCTACTCACTAGGATATATTGCTAAACCCCAATGAAACTCGTTTTACATCATTCATTGTGAAATGTAAATACCTTTGTTTTAATGCTTGAACATAGTAACAATAATAAGCTCTGGTTCATGTTGTGTAAATTCCTTCCTTACTTCATGACATGCCAGCATGTGACTAAAGACATGCCAGAGTGAGACTGAAACTGTTATCTGAGAGCACGCCACACCTTGAAACCAAAAATACAGTGCTAGACAGAAAGAGCTCATTGGTCCACATTTCACCTTCTCTGCTGATAAACAAGTGACTACCATCAAACTGGTTTTACCAGTCCTCTACTGCTGCATGACATCAGATCACAAAGACAGTTCTGGGCTATAACTTCTCTTCTCAGAAAATGGCAAAAATGCTCCAATCCTTTATCACATTTATCATATGTGTTCATATGTGATACCACAAAACAATCATTGTAAACTAAATGCTTTGGACTGCTGGGTGGAATTAACACTAAACATAAAGGCCTAACAATGGATCTTAAGAAATTGAACTGATTACTCAATGAAAAATAATGAAATAAAGGCTTCAAATGCGCTGTCCTTGTCAAAAAAATAGCTGTTTTTACGTCATTGGAAACGAATTGTTTTGTTTTTTTATGTCATTGCAATAACAAATGTTTTTGCGAAAATGTATCTTTACAAAAGCCCATATAAAGCTGTCACTCACCCATGCCTCTACATCCTGAGGTGGTGCCAAGTCATCAATGACTTTCACTTTCTTCCACAAAATGTTGCTTTTGCCAAAATTTTGGATTTTCTGCCGCGTCTTCAGTGCAAAAACCAGCATGATAAGCAGAGCTGCTGTCACCAGGAAGCCAAACACAACGGCAATGGCCTGGAATGGGAAATAAACCACCACATTAGAAACAGAAAAAAGTTAAAGACAGAAATGGACATAAATCAAATCTGTGCCCTCACCTCTTGTGGCTCAAATACACAATAACGGTAAAGGTATTCATTAACAAATAGTGCTGAGGACTGCGGTTGTTGGTAGGGAGCACACAATGCAGTAAGGGTGTTGCCTTGAAGCGTTCCATATGACTGTGCCGATGGGTTCACTGCCACCAAGTATACTATGGTGGCTATAAGCATAAACAGGGCTAGGATGGCAGAGATGATCACCACAGCCAGGTAGAACCTCCTGCTCTCTGATAGGCTTTGACGGGATACAATGACGATGAAGACCGTGAGTACGAAGATGAACACAATGGCTGACATGGCGATCATAAACCCTTTGCCTGAACGTGGTTCAACATAACTATAACCATATCCTCCATATCCATAGCCACCGCCATAGCCGCCGCCAAAGCCACCGCTATAGCTGCCACCATAGCTGCCACCATAGCTGCCACCATAGCTGCCACCATAGCCGCCACCATAGCCGCCACCATAGCCACCAATGCCTCCAAAACCAGACAATGCTCCCTGAGAGTCATAAGCCAGTGTGGAGGCAACGCAAGCAAATATAAGCAAGCACAAAAAAGTGCAAATGACAGCCATGATTTTGAGGATGCCTGGTGGAGACGTCAAGCGGTAGAAATGCTGGAACTCATCATCTGGGTAGTAAGAATAGGCAGGCTGCGGAACGATTTTACTGTGTAGGGGGGAGAGACAAAAGAGACAGTGTTTATGGTGAGATATATATATATATTATATATACACACATATATATAGTGATAGTGATTATTTAATAAGATAAACAACATTTCTACCAAGATTTGTCAAAGTTAATTAGTTTGTAAATATTTTTAATTATATACCTTTTTTATTTGCATGTAAGGTAAATGAAAGCTACAACAAAAATCTCAACAAAACTGATTTCAACCCAAAATAAAGACAAACTAAAAAAAAGACAAAGTCAGAAAGAAAAACGTAAATACTCTATATTATCATCTTGAACATTCTGATGAACACTTACAATACAAAATGATCAGCAGTAGAAATATTAATCGAAAAACACTCACTGGTCATCATCTGCCTCGTAAGGAGGAGGGCTTCCTACGGGACTGGAAGACATAACTTCTGATCCACTTGGTGCTGATCTGTAAAAAACAAGAATATTTATGGTTAAAGCAGATCTCATTTAGGGTTCATAAGTGTTGTCATAGCTATTAAGTATCATCATTGTTAAATGGTGATAATTGAAGTCTTCCTAAGGTCCATGGATCTGCTGACTTTATTATGACATTCACCAAGAAAAAAAAAAGGCAGCATTTCAACTAAAAAGTGGAACAGAACATTTCTTTTATTTACAATGATTGACTCTATTAATTACTCTGCTGCAAACACCTACATAGTAAGATATTTGTAAGACATTTTCAGAGACTTATTCCCCACAGCATAACCGTGCTAGTATGCAGCGATAAAAACCCAAGATTACAATTGCTAGCATGACAAACCTCCTAGCAATTTTGCTTCATAGAAGAGATAATAGGGTTAATAGGATAATTGATTTGAGTATCCAACGACACACTTATCTTTAGATCGTTATTTTAAAATGAAAGAAGCCTCTGCTGATAGTCCCACAATTTCAAATCGATACACTAACCTGCTACTTTGTAAGAGTCCTCAGCTGAAACAGCTCAAGTGAAACTGCGACTTGCAATAAAAACATCCTGACCACACCTAGACAGGTTCATCTCTCGCTCGGTAACAGCACGCCCCGCCTCACAGAGGTCACATTACAGAACATGAGCGGAAGTCAGCCTTTTCCCTCTGAATTAAAAAACAAAACGTTTCTATAAATACTTTAAGTTGGTTGTGCATGTCTCTTACAAATGTTAAACTATTGTATTTTAACAAATACAAACAGTCTTTGTCCAACAACTTACGTGCAAACCTATTTCGCCTGGCAAAGAAGGAAACTAATATGAGTGACATTATAAAGAAGTTCGCCTATCTTTGAGTGTCACTCCAACAAACGTATCCCTCGTACACAAGTAAGCAAGAGAAGACTAATTAACACGAACTGAATAAAATGACAAGAAACAAGTTTGAATGTATTCTGAGCTTTGATTTTCTGTTAATGTTCGCACATAACCCAGTGCAAAATGTTTTTAATAATGGTAAATGGACTGGTTCTTATATAGCGCTTTTCTACTCAAAAACACTTAACACAACTTTTCTCATTCACATCAGAGCTTTTTTCATTCTGACAGTTACACACATGGATGCACCTTGTCTATGGATATTTGGCATGCAGAGAGGAGGAGATGCGATCGAACCACTTACCTTCAATTTGGTAGGTGACCAGATGTCGATCTACCTAATTGGTTAAACATTTAACTTTAGAGTCAGGATTTTCATGTTATGATTAAGTCCAGATTTGCATCAACTAATATTTTTACTATTAATTAAAGAATTGTCCTATTTTTGTCTACAAAATGTTTTTTAAGTTAACACTACATCTAAAGCAAGAGCTTCTTTAATATTATATATATATTTTTAAAAGTATTTCAATGGGCTCATTTGCACTATAAAGTCCAAAAGCCAGAAAAAGTATTACTGGGAAAGCAACTCAAAAGATAAAATTTGTTTAATCAGTTGATTACTCAGTCACTTCTTTCATCTCCCATCCAGCCTTTTGTTTTCTTTGGTGTTCTTGCCCATCAATATTTTATTACTTTTTGCCACAAAGCAAAATGGCTGGCTGCTGATTAACAAAGAATATAACTACACCATTGTCCAATAAGCAGAACTGTATTTGGAGAACAGAAAGCATGAAATTATGAAAAAATTATACACATTTAAAGAGAAAAAAAACCTTGGAAAATATTTTCTGTTCAGTGAAAAGGTTCACAGTGTTATAAAGCAAATAAATTGAGATTTTTAGGCAGTTACGTGACTATAATGTACAAAATGTTTTTTTCCACTCAAAGTCTGTGCAAGTTGCGTCCAAAGTACACATAGCAAACAGCTACAATTCTACAATTCCTTACTTTCAGATTCAGACACCGCAACATAAAAATGTATCCTAATGTAATGTATCCTAATTTCCCCTTGGGGATAAATAAAGACTCTGATTCTGAAAACGTGCACTTAAAAGAGTATATAAACAGTGGTTTTCATGAGGTTAAAAGTAAGAAAAAACAAATTACGCAGACAACTGACAAAAACAAACAAACAACGGATTAAACCCTGACAGAAATAATGCAGCATTATCAATAATTATACAGACATTCACTTGAAACTATTGTCAGATATGAAATTAAATGGACAACCTCAGCTACATTTTTTAGTCACAGCATCACACACATAGAATTTTTTGGTTTGCATTCAATCAAATTATAAAGCTACAAAGTGACAGCAAGCTCAAAGGGTGGTACATAGACAGAACTGTGGTCTGGCTGGGGAGAGGGGTATTTGGGTTTTTTATTCAAGTTAGGGATTTATTAAAGTTAGCCGTGCTATTTATCCTAGTTCCTTAATATCCAGCTAAGCTAATCACCCAAATTTAACCCTGGAGAACCAATGGGGTCAGAGTCGACCCCATTGGTTTTCTAGGGAAACCATAGGGTCAAATTTGACCCCATGGGTTCTCCAGGGTTAAGAGTGTAGCCTAGGGAGTGGTGAGCACTCATATAGCAATGTGAGACTAACTGGCATGGGTGATGAAGATTGCTGGCAGTCACTGTGAAATCAACTGCTAAAGAATTATCCACTAAGGCCTAAAGACATGTTAATGACACACTGTCAACCTCTATTCACTAGGGAAAAGTGTACACTCTTAACTGGTTGGAAAGTAGTTGCTAGAAATTGCTGACAATTGTTAGCATGACATTGGTTGCATAAGGGTATATGGTGCAGCACCGGAAAACTTGCAATTGCTTCAGATGCTAGCATTGATCTAAGTGTGCTAGTAGTTTACATTGAAGACGCTAACTTGTCTGCAATCACTCACAAAACCACTCACTAAGCAGTAGCAAACCAGAAATGTAGACAATTCACCTTCAAAGTATAAATTGCAGATTTTGAAATGTGTTGGTTGTAGAAGTCAGGGACAACTTTCACTCTGAAAGCAAACATTCTCCATTTCCAGTTTGCATCACATTTTTTTAAGATTTACTATAGCTGTAAGTTTGTATCATCCACGCAAACCCCCCCCCCGCCCCCCAAAAAAAGAGCAAGCTATACATATATATAAGGTATTCCTATTAAAGATGAAACATTGTGGTCATTTGCTTTGGACTCTAAAGCTTTAAGAAACCACACATTCAAAAGAGAAATTGTTGACAGATGTGTTTTCTTCCAGTTATTGTCACTGAACAGATTTCAAAAGGCAGGGAAAGCTTGATAAGCTCATGGTTTTGACTGCATTCAGCATCAACTTGCAACATCAAGTGTTCATTTTCAGCACTGGTGATGTAGAGATGGCGACAGCAGTTCAGTATTTGTGCTGCAGTACAGGAATTTCTCAGAGGTTTTCAGCTGTAGCCATCATTCCATTCCATGACTTTATCATATTCTTGGATCTTCTGTTTAATGTGTGATAGCTTGTTCTTCAGATACTCACAACGCTCTTTCTTTTCTAGGAAAGTGGGATCCTGTAAAGGTAAGGCAGAAACAGTGATCAGATTATAGTCTACTGTTCTTTAACCACCAAAAGACAAAGCCTAAATAAACTCCTAAATCCGACATTGCTGTCCATCAAAAACAATGTGCAACGCTGTTGCAATAGGCAACATGTTGCTTCATTACAACACTGTGGTTTTCGATGACTCCATAGATAGTCCTGCTATCCCAAATACTCAACACAACAAATACTACATTCTAAAATTACACAATATCCGTGGAGATTAGTAGACCTTTTCATAACAGACCTCTTGACTTGTAAATGCAAAAAAAGCACATGTAGAATTAATGATGGCTGAAGTTACAATATACTATGTCAGTGGATCCTCTCCCAAAAGGAATCAGGCCAGCATTAACACCTGATACATTACAGCAGAGACAGCAAATCTTTTTGATTTTGATTATAAATTTGACAGGTTATTATATCCCAGTGACCACTGAAACTAAAGTTAATTTAGCTTCAAAATAACTGAACAAAAAAAATTTGTTGCAGAGGGTCACTTTTTGAAGGAATAATAAGAATCCTGTACTTTTCCTGCAAACTCTTAAAAAAGTTCTTCTGTCTACAGCTTTTGGCTCACTTTTGTTTCTCTGGACATTTTTCCAGCTGTATTTGACATAGAAAGAGCTTCCAGTTTTTTCCCGAGGTATACGCATAGGACCTTTGTCGACCTTTAGCCCTTCAAAGCTCTGTTAAACCTGATCATTTATGGAGCAATAAAAAAATATGTAAGAGCAATAAAAGATATGTCTGTAAAAATTACACCATGTTTAATCAATAAAGACTTTATAAAGGTATAAAAAAAGTATCAGAGGGCTGTGGACCTGAGAACATTTCCATTCAGTTTAATTAAACTTTATTTATATAGCACCTAATCAAGAAAAGTCCCCTTAAGGTGTTTCATAAAAACCCAACAATGTAAGAATGAAAACCCTTGAGAAAACAAAAAAAAGCACAGCAGTGGGAAGGAAAGATTGTCTACATGTTGCAACTGTTTACTGTCACCAGGGGGCAGTGTCACAAACAGTCTTTGTCATGCAATCCTTGTTGATGATCTGATCTTTTCTTTGGGGTTTTTTTTTTTTTTTGCTCCTCCATTGTTTATGGTTAATGTTGCTGTTGCACAGTTTCAAAGAAAGGAAAAGCGTTTTATGGTAATTAAATTTTTATGGAAAGTTTCGGGTCACTATTCTGCTAAAAGACCCATCTATGACTATGGTTCTCATCCATTTTAAAGTACATAGCTGCTCCCCATGTAAGTTAAGTCATCACCATTAGCAGAAAGTGGACAGGTTTTCTTTCTACACATGATGAGTTCAGATCAGGAATATCTTTAAATGACTGACTGACTGTAATCAATGCGAAAGAGGGACACTATTAATATGTGAGCGCCAAAATTTTGGCTGGGTTGTAGGGGTTTCAATATTTAGTTCACTCAGTGACAAGGAAATCAATTTGTAACTTCTGTAATGTGTTTTTATGGAATTTTGTGGTCGACAATCTGTCTCTTCTGCATTAAAATGAAACTAAGAAGAAGTAGAGACTGTTTATAATTTTGTAAGTGAAGAAAATCACAAATTTGGTAGGGAAATAATTACTTCCGCCCATTGTATAAAACAGTAACAAGACAATAAGCTCACATTTTTCTTCCTCTGGTACTCCTGGAGGATTCTGTTAATGCGATCCACCTCCTACAAGAACAGAAAGAGAGGCATAGTTAACTCAAACACTGAAACTCAGTATGAAAATGAGTTGCAGTGACGCAGTACCAGCAGCTTTCTGATGAGAGTGAGGAATTTCAGGGTGGAGGGGAAATGCAGAGGGGACAGGAAGTCCAAACAGGGGAAGTTACGGGATGAGGAAATGAGGTACAATTTCAAAACAAAAAGACAGAGTGTAATATTCCAAACATGCAATCAAAATGCATCCTTATTCCATTTAGTTTCATTTGATTCCTGAGTGGGTTTGCTTGTTTTAGTTTAGCTTTTATAGTTTAAAATGTTTAATTTTAGTTTCAGTTTATTAGTTTCAGTGTAACCTATTAGTGCCTTTTATTTTTAAAATAATTACTGTATTTATGCCAAATGCAACAAGCAAAATTTAAGGGAGTCAATGTAGATATAACAGTA